AGGCAGCTGCTGGCTCTGTGAGCAGGCATCTTCCCAGCCTACATGTAGATCCATGAATCTGCAGGCTGGTTAGATGGTTGTCACATGCCCGGCCATCTTCATCACTTCCTGTTTGTGTCTCGCCCCCCTCTGTAGCCCGATATTGTTAGTAATATATTAATGTATATATTACATTAATTAATATATTAACTCTCGTGACCCTAAACTGCTCAAAGAGCCATATTAAAAAAATTATTAAAAACCATGTTATAAAACAAAAACCAAATCTGTCTGTAGCCACAGAAATGTAAAAGTCTTCAATAAGCCTCATATGGCAACACAGGCTCCAAGTCTATTAGCCCACTACAAAAAATGACTACGTGGGCTTAAATATATAATAAGAGTCCATGATTAAATGTTTACCCACAGTAGCATGAGGTGAGGGAGGAGCAGTGAACGCTCTTGATGCTTAGAATTCATCGCGCGCTGCTTCACCGCAGGGTTAAGGTGTTGTTGCCTTAATGAAATTATAGAAAGACGATAAAGGAATCTTACTATGGTGGAAGTGTTTCTGTTAGGAGGAGTTGATTGAGTCACGAGGAACCAAGCAGGAACTGACATCCATCAGAGCCGCGCTCTCTAACCCCAAAACCTCACATCCTCTGTCACCAGCGTTCCTTGTTTCCCCATACTGTCACCGGGTCGGGTTCGGTCGCTCCGTACCCGGCTGGTTCCCTGCCCCCATCCGGCCGGGGTTCCAGGACCAGCCCCTGAGCTGATGGCTCGGTTCGAATGCCCGGTCCAGTCCAGTCAGCGGCCCAGCAGTGCCCCCAAACTTTGCAGAGATCTTCTGATAGACAAAAATAATCCATGTCTGTCCAGTCTTGGGATCCTTGGGAAGTGAAAATATTCCCCTTTATCCGTGCAGCCTGGAGCACTGCATTCATGCCCGTGGTTCTGGCTCATTTTCAAAAGAGAAACTGCCTGCTTTGTAATTCTTGTAGAAGTAAACCCAACTGTAGGCTAAACAAATAAACTGGTGTCTGCCATCTACCTCTATTCATGTTCTTGGGCCTGTGAACCAGTGGGCTGGTCTGTATGTCCATTTCGGGGCATGACAAAAACACAGGCCAGAACCAAATAAGGCATCTCTGAGTTTACGTCAATTTGGGGCTTCGTTTGGATTCACCCATTTTATGGCGGAAGATTAGAACTGTTAGATTTGCAGATAAAGGAGGTGTTGATGGGGTTTGAACTTCTCTGTATGTCCATTTCACCCACTGAACTATTGTTATTCATCTTTGACAATGGAAACATGGTTTTGCATTCTACGAACCCTTTAATGGGTGGGTCTTGATTGTTTCCCTTTCCACATCTTTCCATCCTGCAGTGTAATCCAGACAGCACAAACATACCAAAGGTCCCAAATGAGCTGCACAGAAATATTATTCAATGTCTAATTTTAAGGCTTTAATTGTTATTCTATATGCTCCCGTAAATCATAGCTTTGATAACGAGGGATTTTCTGGTTGCTTGTGAGAAGCTCACTTTATGTCAACAGCAGAATGAGGAATGCTGATCCAGGTCTACAGTTTGATTCTAATCACCCTCTGATTTATGCTGCTGCAGAAAGAACTGCATCATTAGGACGCTTTTGCTCTAATGACTCTGACAATCAGCCTTGTTCATTACTGCTAGCAACATCCATCACTTTTATGGTCCTTTCCATGATCATCAATAATCTGTGGGTAGAAATGTATTGTTGCATAATTATCAGTCATTTTCTAACCTGCAGTATCTGCGCCTCACCTCCAGTGTTTCCTGAAATCCATGTGTCATGGCATGTAGAGCCGTTATAGATGAGCTCGCCAAAGGAGAAGCAGAGAGGAGGAAAGAAAACAAGTTTTTTTAGTTATGGTTCAACTTTTTCTGATGATTTGGAATAACTGAACATGTGGGTTCCTGTTAGAAGTGTTGCTCTTTGTCCCGACGGTCTGCAGAGTGAGTGAAGGGATTGCTGTAAATGCTTTGATCATAGCCTGAAAATCTTTTCTTTACAGAAACGAATTCAGCCTAAACTCAGTTGGGTCAAATCAACCTTTTAGGAATTAAACCTTCCATGTCTCTCACAGTGTGTCCTGTCTCAGCCGAAGTTCTGGGCAGTGGAGGTGACAGCACTTTGCCTCAGGACCAAACTGGAAAAGGGAAGATCTCGGTGTGTGGAGAGAGCCATGATGCAAACCCAGGTAAGATATTCTTCATCCCTTTCATATGCTCACCTATAGGACTTAGGTTGTGCCGTCGTGAATCGGAGCCCAAACCATGCAGTGGTTGAACACCACTGATCACTATTCACTGGATTGCTGATGGCCCGAAAAAAGTGAAGCTACCTGCTGCCATATTGGTACTCCCCACTCCCATGGAGACGCACAGTCAAAAGGCCTACCTGTGTAGCATTTGGCTGCAAAAACAATCAGTTTTCTGGCTGTGGGAAGATGTTTCACAGGTAATTTCCCAGTCAGTGGAAGAATTAACCAAGAAAATCCACATATATGCCGATGGATCCTATAGTATATTTGTAGAGTAACATTAATCTGGCTATCTTAGACCGACTAGAAGACATGGACTGAGTTAGCCATCGACATTGTGTCTAATGTTAGAAAACAAAGTAGAGTAAATGGAAAGGAATTCACTTTGAAATATCAATGTAATTCTTTAAGTGGATAACGCTGTCGTTTTTGTAGTGTTGTATTTCTCATTTGAAAAAGTCATGTGCTAAAATATGTTATATTGATGAAAAAAAGCAGTTCAAACATTTTTAAAGGCTAATGCACAGACACAGCATGAAGTATATGGCATCATGCATGCACAATTTGCAAATAGGAAAATACTACAGCATTAAAAGACATGTACAGGAAATTCAGGCTTGATGTAAAATTTTGAAATCATATGTAACATGTTATAACAACAGTGTAATAAATCCATGTATATTACATGTACAGCACCAATTTTAGCACATCTGTATTATTATGCTCCATTACAACATTAATTTTATTGCGATGAATTTTTATAATATGTTACATGATTTATAGACTTCATTGGCTTCATTCTGACTATGCAATGTTATGTGCCTATTTTTTTTTTTTTATTATAAGTTAAAGTAATCTACTGATGCTATGAAACAGCCAGTGTGTGTCAAATTGAAGAAATTATCTTTTTTTTTTTAAAGTGTTAAGCCCTCTTGAAAATGAGAAAATCATTGTTGTTTGATGCTGTAGCGCACGGATTGTTTATTTTGCGATTGGTCTAACTAGGGAGTACCAATATGGCGGCTGGTGGCTTCACTTCAACCCCGTACTACTAACAGGAAACCAGCGATCCAGTGAATAGATAGAGGTCAGTGTAGCACATGGGGTGCTGGAAAACACGTGAGGTGGAAAAACAGCCTTTCGGCTCTCAGGCCAGCTTAGGGCCAATGGGCCCCTCTACTCAGACCGATCAGGGCAGCTTAGGGCC